GGTGATGTCCGCAGGGTCCAAGGAACCTGTCCCAAGTCCTGTCCGTAGCTCCCACCTCCGGGTGCTAAAACCCCACTCCCTCCCTCCCTCCGTCAGGCAGCAGCTCTTCTCAGCTTTGGATGGGAGCCACAGGCCTACCCTGGATGCTTGCCAAGGCTGCCTGTCTCTTGGTCAGTGGGTCCTGTGTTGTCCTTACTCCTTTCTACAGACACGGGTCTTCTGTGCCAGGCCCTCCACTAACGGCCACCCCAGAAGCTGAGGAAATAATCACCCGTGGCTTTCAGTCGCTCCAGGACACAGGACTGAAATCTGGGCCTGAAGAGTGTCAGCTTCTCGGCGCAGTCTGGAAGTTTGAGGAGATGGAGAGAGTGTCGGGAACAAGACCCGGTACAGGAAAAGCAGGCTCTAGTTCTCACAGGCTCACCAGCTTTCGTGTGAATGTGTTTCTAATCCCTGCAGCCCCGTCACTGTCCTCCGCACCGTCAGGGGCTAGGAGGGACAGCCACGGCCTTCTGCAAGTCTAGCCCCATTGAGGTGGTGAGTGACAACTTGGGCCGCCTCCTGGGACAAGCTGAGGGTGCTTGGTGCGCTGCAGCGATGGCAGTGAGGTCACAGGAACAACCAGGCAGAGGCTGCAGAAGGGCTGACAGTCGCACCTGAGCGCCCTGTTTACGAGGTGGGAGCTGGCAGGCAGGCAGGCACAATTAGCCCAGAGCCGCTGAGGCAGGCAGGGTTCTCCAGGCACGGGCGATGGGAAGTCACCATCTGCCCATGGGCACCCGTGTGTCAATGCACAGGAAGGGAACAGAAGTAGCTGGATGAAGCCCAGCGGCTTTGCTGCCCACGTTAAAACTGAGCAGCTTCCTCGCCTGCCAGCATCAGTGTCAACACATTCTGTGTGCGTCTCTCTGTGTCTCACACCCGAAGTGGCAGAAACAATCGACAGAGAACCCAGGGGAAGAAAAGGAGGAGATGCGTTGGTCTTGCGAAGGCAGGGAACCTGAGTCTTGTGTTTCAGTCCAAGCCTACCTTGGTCCTTGCTCACTCATTCTCTCCCTGATCAGAGGGCCCCCCACGGTGAGCAGCACCTCGAGGTTGTGGCCGCTCCCATGGGAGGCATAGGGGGGCAGCAGGAAGAGAAGCACCTCTAGGCTAGAGCAAGCTTCATCTACATCTAAACCCCAACTAGGGCACGTGCCGCAGAGGAGGTACTCCACAGAGCACGAAGGGTGCTCGTCAGGACGTGCGGTGTCCGCCCCGGCACGCCACGGGGTTCTCAGATGAGTACGTCATCCGCAGCTTGGACCTCTAGCCACGACTACACAAGGCCTATTCTTCTCTCCTAAAGGGTAGAGCCTTCAGCCTACTCCTTCCTTTAAACACAAACGCACTTTGCCAGGCAGAGAAAAGGACTCAGTGGGGAAGCTGTCCTGTGCTTTCACTCTTAGGCCAGCCCTGGGCTCAGATGGGAGGGGAGGGGAGGGGATGGCCAGGAGGGAGGGCAAATGCCAAAACAGAGGAGGGGTGGGGAGGGTAAGGGAGACACACTACCACCACCACCACCACCACCCCCAAGATGGGCTTCAATGTCACTCCACATTAAGCACCGGGTAGCAGTGGGGAGTGCCCGTTTCGCTGGCTGGCCAGCTCCGAGTTCCCGAGGGCTCCACAAGCAGTGGGCTTGTCCGCATGCATGCTCCACTCACACCTGCCCGGTACCCGCCCTGGCTCGCGTGCTGCTGGGAAGGGGACAAGAGGAAAACCAGACAGATTGGAACGCCCCTGCCCCCCATACACTTTGCAGGGCGCCTCTGCTGGGCTCCCCTGACCTGCCACCTCAGGGAGTGGAAAGAGACACCACACACACCTCAGGGTCCCAGGTGAACTCTGGCTCATGTTTAGACTAGCTCAGCGATGCCATGGAGCACAGGAAGCAGGTAAGGGGAGGGAGGCCTGTGGGCAGAAGACGTCGTCCACTCTACTGGTGGGGAGAAGTCCCCCCTTGTGTCGGGCAGGGAGCTAGGGGGCCTCGAGGAAGGTGTTGGTCCGGAAGATGGAGGAGACGATCTTCCCTGTGGCATTGATGGTGCCTTCGCTGTCTGAGCTGGACTCCGAGTCACTGCTCCCGGAGTAGGCACCCAGCCCCGGGAGGATGCCGATGCAGACAGCCGCCGAGGGGCAGTGGAGGGAAGGGCCGCTCAGGGAAGGGCTTCCGAGGGACACACAGGGCGGGGCTTCTGCAAAAGAGAAGGGAGGACCTTTACATGCCCACCCCTGGCACCCAAGCCGTCTGCTTTACCCACAGACCCTCCTGGGCGCCTCCCACAAGCCTCTGCAGTCCAGACTACGTCAGCCTGCTCGTACAGCCGGGGGCCGACCTATTCGAGGTAAAGCGAGCAGCACCGCCAGGTTTCCTGCATGCTCCCACTCCCCAGGACTGCAGCCCACCATGGCTGGACTTGCCACAACCACAGGATGACAAGGGGACTCCTCTCCTGACCCACTCCCAGAGCAGGACACAGGCCAGAGCCACGGTGTAGAGCCACTGTGAGCCAAACTGACAGCACTGTTCGAGCCCTTCTGAGTCTGTGACCCAGCCCAGACTCACTGACCAGCGAGGACCCCTTTCCCACGCCAGCTACCAGTCACAGAGGTCACAGCCTGCAGAATGGGGTGCCGCTTCCCTGCGGAGGGAGATGAGAACTTGGAAACCAATCAAACAAAGGCTGGCCCTTCCTGTTGTACAGCTGAGGACACAGTCAGATGACATGCTAAGACCATGCAGAATCTCACCAGGCTGCTGGGGGTGTCTTTCCTTCCCAGAGTTCCTGGGGCCCCCCCTAACGGCAGAGGGCTTCAATCTGGAAAATGCAGGCAGGACTCCAAAATGAAAGGAAAGGTCTGCTCCCTAGCCCAGCCCTCCTCCTTCCTGCTACAAGCAGCCAGCTCCACTGACACTGCCTAACAACCTGCATGGTAGGCGCCATTCCCACGGTTCCTGGGGAAGGAGGTGACATGACTTAGCCAAGGTCACAGGCCACTAATGAGCTGAAACATTAAGCACAGAGTGACCCAGAAGCTAACGCACTAACAGGACCCCTGAGCTCACAGCACAGGAAGGGCTGGTGGTCCGACGGCACTGTCCCAGGCCGACAAGCCTGTCACTCTCGAGGGTCCTGCCTTTGAGTCCCTCCCCCTTCCTATAAGTAAGTATGAAGGGACAGCACAGGTCTATGCAGTCTGGAGTGACCATAGCATCCCCCGACCGCGAGGCCAGTGTAGAGTGTGCAGGAACTCAGTGTATCTGCTTGTCTTTTCAGGAAGTTCTAAGAGACAGAAACCAAACCCAAACCAAACTCACTGCCACCGAGTCGATGCCGACTCACAGTGACCCTGTGGGATGGGAAAGAACTGGCCCTGTGGGTTTCTGAGGCTGTAACTCTTTACAGGAGTATGGAGCCTCCTCTTTCTCCTTCAGAGTGGTTGGTGGTCTCGAACAGCTCTAACAAGGGAGGAACAGCTGCTAGGGAGGAGCACCAGCACTCACACACGGAGACACAAAGTGAGGGCCGGGAGAAGGACTGCAGAGCCCCCAAGGCCACGGCTGCTGGAAAGCAGAGGCCAATATCTGCAGCGAACACCACAAGGGCGAAGTTCTTTAGGAAACACGGAGTTCTTCCAAACCTGTGTAGAAAAAAACGGAGGGGGAAACCTGACGGAAGACTTGAGCAATTCACAGGAAAAGCAAACGGGCTTTAAGACAGAGGAGGATAACCTTACACACATTGCCGAGGAATGCAAACCGACTAACTTCTTTGGAGGGCGATTTAGCAATATTTATCTACATTATAAATGTAGATCCTCTCTGTGTATGTGC